ACGAAAGTCTGTCGCAAATTGTTTTGGCAGACTAAGTACAAAAGAAATTCTTCGAGTGTTTAAAGAGAAGCCAATCTCACCTCGAACCATATTTCGCGTTTTAAAGGATTGCTGGGAAGGTAAGGAACCGGAAAACAAAAAGAAATCTGGTCGTCCACCAAAACTAAGTGTCAGAACAACGAAAAGTCTGCTATCAAGTGCAAAAAACAAGATTGGTCAATCAACACGACGATTATCACGAAAATTCGAAGTTTCAAAGTCCACAGTGCATTGTATTTTAAAGAAAAACAACGTTTTCTATCGTAAACGTAAGCGAGCACCAAAATATACACCGAGACAACTCTAAATAATACCAAAATGTTGCCGTGCACTTCGTGATAAACATTTTTCAAATGGAAATTTCATGATTTTGGATGATGAATCATACTTTACTTTTGCGCGGAAACGATGGCTTTTACAATGACAACATTGAAAAAACACCAGACAATGTCAAATATGCCGGTAAATCAAAATTTGAGCCGAAGGTATTGGTGTGGGTGGCCATATCATTGAAAGGTATTTCAGCGCCAGTTATTCGACCACAAGAAGCCAAAGCGATAAATTCTGACATCTACGTAGGCGACTATTTAAGTTTCTTCAATATGTATGTTTTAGTATTGCCCGATGCAAACCATTGTCATATTCGTTAAGTTTAACATTTTGTAGCATAAACGTTCTCAGAACGTTTTGTCATTCGATCGTTATTTGTATTGTTTACCGTAACATGTAAATTGCGTCTCAGCCAAAAAATGAATTTTACTCGTGAAAATTTTCGAGCGATTATTTTTTTCCACTTTCGATTGGGTGTATCACAACAACAGTGTTTTGATCAACTTCATTTGGCCTTTGGCGATGAAGTACCAAGTCTTCGGACAATTTATAATTGGTACAACGAATTCAAGCGCGGTCGCCTATCGCTCATCGACGAGCTCCGCGAAGGTCGTCCAAAATCAGTTGTTGTACCAGAAAACATCGATGCTGTCAGAAATATGATAATGGAAGATCGTCATGTAACATATCACGAGATTGAGGCATCCCTGGGCATTAGTGCGACCAGCGTATTTAAGATTTTACATGAACATTTAGCTGTCAGAAAGATTTTCTCTCGTTGGATACCACATAATTTGACAATCGCTCAAAAAAAGGCTCGTGTCGATTGGTGTAAAAAAATGCTCAAGAAATTCAATCGTGGTGTTTCAAAATCCGTGTATTTTATCGTCACTGGTGACGAATCATGGATCTACGCGTATGAGCCCGAAACTAAACAGCAGTCGACTGTATGGGTTTTTCAAAGTGAAGATAACCCAACAAAAGTTGTTCGAGCTCGAAGTGTTGCGAAGCAAATGGTCGCCTGTTTTTTCGCGATAAGTGGTCATGTGGCAACAGTTCCACTAGAGGCTCGTAAGACCGTTAATTCTGATTGGTACACCACCATTTGTTCGCCCGAAGTGTTTGGTGAAATAAGAAAAAACAACCGCCGTCGCAAAGTAATTCTTCATCATGATAATGCGAGCTCTCACACATCTCATCAAACAGTCGATTATTTGACCGGTCAAAAGATCGATTTAATGGGTCATCCGCCGTACAGTCCTGATTTGGCACCCAACGATTTCTTTTTATTCCCGAGCGTGAAGAATAAACTGCGTGGTCAACGATTTTCATCGCCCGAAGAAGCAGTTGATGCGTTCAAAACACACGTTTTGGAGATATCACTTTCGGAGTGGCATGAATGCTATGACAAATGGTTCGAGCGAATGCAAAAGTGTATTGATCATCATGGCGAATATTTTGAAAAACAATAAAACCATTTTCGATGAAACCCCATTGTCTTATATATGTTTTTGAAAAAACTTAAATAGTGACCCTCGTATATTGATCAATGCTTGCCAAAAATGAAGCAATTCATTGAAAACCATCACGCCCGAAAACCATCACGAAATCATGTTTTGGCCGGACCTTGTAAGCAGTCATTTTGCGAAAAAAACATTGAATTGGCTCACTGAACAAAATATTCCTTTTGTACCGAAAAAGTATAACCCACCAAACATTCCACAGGCACGTCCAATCGAAGATTTCTGGTCGGCTCTCAAACTTAAAGTGTACGAGATGGGCTGGGAAGCTCAGAACGAGCAACAGTTGATGGGTCGAATCAAGCGAAAGTTGAAGGAAATGGATGTATCGGTCTGCCAGAGCATGATTTTGAAGGTTCGAAGTATACTACGAAAAATTGAAGACAATGGCCCTTTAAGTGTAATTTGAATGTGCTATTGCGATAGCTTATAAATAAAGGTTTACGCCAATAAAAACGAATTTGATATTGTATGTTTGTTGTCCAAATGGCGAACGTCTAAATTTACTGCCAAAACTTTATGGACATATGTTAAAATTGCAAAATTGTATAAATTGAATAAGTTTTGCAATAATAATAACGAAAATAATTAATAGAATTTATAATAAATAAAAAAAATTGAAAAAAACACACAAATATTTTATATTATATGATATGTAGCTTTGCCTTGTAGACTTTGCCTTGTAGACCATGTAGAGATGGTTACGTGGAGAAAATATGTATTTGTCAAACATTCATACCTGTCAAAAGAAACAACGTAAGCAACACGAAGTGAAGCTATTCTGTTGAATCATATAATATAACATATTTGTGTGTTTTTTCAATTTTTTATTTATTATAAATTCTATTAATTATTTTCGTTATTATTATTGCAAAACTTATTCAATTTATACAATTTTGCAATTTTATTTGCAAGAAAAAAATATATGAGAACCTGGCGTGAAAGAGATGGCGCTTCTTAAATCGAGTCGCGTTGAAAGACGACTGTAAGTGAGAGCAGGGAAAATTGCATGTTCGGCGTCTTCTTCTTGTTCTGGGCAGGTTGGACATGCCGCAGAATTTTCGTGTTTAAACTTGTGGAGGTATTTTCGATACCCCCCATGACCAGAAAGGAACTGAGTGAGTTGGTAACTACAGTCCCCTTGTTTTCGATTCACCCATGTCTCAATGGCCGGTATAAGATTGTAAGTCCGTCGGCCTTTTGTTGTGGTCTCCCATCGAGTCTGCCATTTGGCCATCGATGTTGTTCTTTCTTCTTTTTTAATGCGTTTATACTCGCTTTTGTCTGTGGTTCTTCTGTTGTAGATTCTCCACATTTCGTCCGCCAGTATATCCACTGGCATCATCCCGGCTATAACTAATGCCGCGTCGTCTGATATCGTCCTGAAGCTACTTATTGTTCTCAGTGCGCTGAGTCTGTATGTGGTTGCAAGATTTCTCCTTATTGCTTTAGTCGTCAGTGCTGCTGCCCAAACCGGAGCGGCATAGAGCAGTATCGAACTAACTACTCTTGAGAGTAGGATTCTCCTACCGTATTTGGGGCCCCCGATATTTGGCAGTATTCAAGAGAGCGCTGCTTGCGTTGATGCTGCCTTATTCTTTATGTACTCGACGTGGGACTTGAACTGGAGTCTGTTGTCTATCATGACCCCTAGATATTTGATCGAGTCTTTCGAGCTAATTATTTGGTTGCCGACTTTTATTTTCATATACTCCAGTGATTTACGACCCGTGATTAGGACTGCTTCCGTTTTGTGCTCTGCCAGCTCTAGGCCAGCAGTTTCTAGCCAACTCTTGACTTGCGAAATTGCTTCGTTCGCGACTGCTTCGATTTCTTCTATGTGTTTCGCTACGATGACAATGGCGATATCGTCAGCGAAACCAACGATTTTCACTCCTGGCGGCAGTGGCAATCTCAGAACACCGTCGTACATGATGTTCCACAGGATTGGGCCCAATACAGAGCCCTGCGGCACTCCGGCTGAAACACCATAGTATTTCACTTCATCTTCGCTATCGTACCGCAGTTTCCTGTCCGAGAAATAGCTTGCGATCAATCCAGGTCCATTCTGGCAAGGGACTTCCTTATTTGTGACCAGTTTGCCGTATTAAAGGCGCTCCTTATGTCCAATGTCACTACTGCACAGTATTCTTTTGTTCCCCATCTCCATCTATCGCCCTCTATGGCGGCAGCTGCTGTATCTACGACTACTTTTATGGCGTCCACAGTAGATCGCCCTTTTCTAAAACCGAACTGCGCTTCGGAGAGAGCCCTCTTCTCCTCTGCAGTTGCAAGTAGGCGATTGTATATGATCCGTTCCAAGATCTTTCCGGCGGTGTCCAGTAAACATATTGGGCGATATGATGAGGGGGGCACCAGGCGGCTTGTTTCCTTTCGGTAGCAAGACCAGGTGCTGCATCTTCCATTGTTCGGGGAATAGGCCCTCCTCGAGACACTGTTGCATTATTTCAATGAACAAGTCCGGCCTTTTTATTACAGCCGCCTTGAGCGCTTTGTTAGGAATGCCATCGGGTCCAGGTGCTTTTTTGTCCTCGAGTTCTGTTTGTGGCTCGCATTCACTGTTGCTCCGTTGTGATGCTTGTTTTTCCACCGGTGGCGACCTGGCCATTTTTGTGCTCCTTTTGAATGTGGTTTTCTCACATTCCATCTCTATCTCCGTCATGGGTTTTTGTTGAGTTTCCATGCTTTTGGGTCCCCCCTCAAGGTCGTTATCAACGTTCGGATGTGTAGTCACTTATAATCCCATGGTTGTCTATGCGAGCAGTGAGGCCATGCTTGGGTTGGCACAAGCCCTTATGGGGACATGTGCTCAGAGCCGGATCAGTGTTAATCAGGAGGTAACCTGCACCCGAACCTACACCACCAGGCTAATGGTAACGAAGCGTTGAGCGTTCCTTGAGGCCTGCCAAGGTTTTATCAGGACGGGGACGACTACAGCCTTACGCCGGCCCATTGCTGTTTTCCAATCCGTGTTTGGTATCAATGCCATGTGTGAAGCGGTCATCCTTGGGGGTTTTGGTCCACGAGTGGTATTTTATTTCCCACTTACCCGTCGGCGTACACCGGTGAGGGCATTCCTCTATCCGCCACCTGAGGACGCGCCCGATGGAAGATTCCCTAACTCCCCACGGGCTGTGCTATTATGGTATATATATATATATATGTGTGTGTGTGTGTTTGTTCGTTTGCCGAGCCTTTATTGTTTTCTTCCTAACCATAATGTAGTACCGATGTAAAATGAAAAGAGTTCAGGTTTCGAAAATTATATTTATTAAGCGAGTAAAAATGTATTTTGGCCTTTGCTAATTGTCTCGAACTCTCATGCCCATATATATCTTCTTATTAGATTGTGATCGTCCTCCTGGCATTCCATATTCTAGAACCATGATAAAAGCCTGTTTTTTGGATTTTATGTGTGTATGGTGTCGTCTTTTCACTTGATAAATATGAAGAAGGCGAATTCTTTCGTTCAAAAAATGTGTGTTTGTATGTTGTTTCATTTTTATCTTGATCTTTTGCAGTTGTTGCAGCGTTGTGTTCTTTTTTTCTTTCTTTTATATATTTTTTGCACTTTTGTTCTTGTCTTTCTTTCGTTCGTTCTCTCGACGTCTGTGATTGTATGCATTATTATTGAATTATGTTGCTTTTTTGTTCATCACGCATCATACTCTTTTCCATCGCCATACACAACCGACACAGAATAACAACCGGCCATAAATATATAGTCACTATGTGTATTCGTGTGTTTTTTTTTCTTTCTCTGCCGTTGTTTTTGTGTATGTCTCATTCTTTCATCTCTCGATTAACCTATTTTATGCACAAACATAATTTTCTATACTTTCCAATCTGAAAGCATTCAGAAACAGCATCTCATCATCATCACCGATTCGAAGTTATAGCATACGGCCGTCCGAATATATATTTTTTTCTTCTGTTTCTCTCTATCTATCACTATTCTCGCTTGTGTTATTTGTTCCAGCAAAACGATGGTTATAAATTGATTTGAATTGAGATTATTCTAATAAAATTCGTTCTTTTATAGCACATTTTGCCATTAATGAATGTGAATGTTTATTGTTTCGATACGTTTTCTGACTTTTTGTGTTCAAGCTGGAAACGCGTGCAATTACCCTTTATGAGTAAATGCGCGATGCTGCGTGTCAAATGCGCGCTATGTCTCTAGAGAAAAAAATGAGCCATACACTGAAGTATACATGATGTACAATGACTAAACCGAAAGATATGAGATAGAGAGCGAACAATACAAAAAAGAAAGAGAGAATAATTATACACAAGCTCATCGATAAATTTTATGTATGCTTTTATTTTTGTTTGTTTTTCTTCCCGCATTTGGTCGGGTGTCGCCGGTTTTCTCGCTTCATTCTATCGTTTCTTTTCTCTTTCTCTCTCTCTGCTTTTCTCAATCTCCAGATCTCCTGCTATTACTCTGTATTTATGTTCACATTAGACATTTTTAACCTTTATCTGAAACCCAAATGATGTTATTCTTCTTATTTTCTTCGAATGAACAAGAATCAGAGACAGCCAAAAGGCTTTTTATTAAAAAAAAATGTATACATATATATCTACTTTTTTCAGAATATAAGAAAAAAATATTTCCTTCACTCAAGTTCAAAACAGATCCATTAATCATTTGTCCGTTTGTGTTTTTTTTTGTCTTCATGTGTTCAGTCTGTTGTCATGAATTGAACTCAAAATATTCAAGATAGATTTTAAGTGTTGCAAACAATCTCAAACGTTTGCGTTTTAATATATGAACTCTGGTTGTGTTCTTTTTTTATTTTCATTTCAATAGCAAAAGTCTTCGTTGCACAGAAAAAAATGTAATTAACATCAAAAGAATTTTTTTTTTTGCGATTCAAACTAATTTGATATGCATATATGAGGAAAAAAAAGAAAAAGAGATGGATTTTATTGACTTTTATTATTTGCGTGTATCATTACCATCAAATTGATGACCAATTGAGCCGAAAATGACTTGATGAAAAAAAATCACAATCATTTCGGACAAATGCGCAAAATAACAATAACCTTTGGCATCTCAATATAACATACCTATATATCAATATTTATTACACAATATTATATAAAACATGACATTGTGTTTAAATCTCTCAAAACAACAGACTATATTCATATATGACGGAGTGTAAAATATATAATAACAATAACTTTTGTTATGAAGCTTTTCCATCTAGCGTTCGTCCTACATGGTGTTGACGGTCACACCTATATGTATATAATCAAAATACATCTCAACTGAAATCGGTAACAGCACACACCCACATATGCAGAAAACGAACACAAAACTTTTCCAAAATACACAAAATTCGGTTCGAAAATCTCAAGTAGAGTACGATTTTTTTTATAAATTTGCGTCACTCGCTTTTCTCGGTCTCTCATTTCGTATTTTGCCTTCAATTCATTTCACATTGTTGTGATTACTTTTTTTTCTAGATGTTTATAAATATAGGCGTGCCATCTTTACCTCTTTCCCTTGCACTCTTTTTCAGTCACTTTACATGTGTGCCTTGAATGCACGCTCAATGCTGAACAGGAATAGCAAAGAAAAAAAAACAGCAAAAACAACAAAGATTTAAAAAAAACAATGTTCAAAAATAAAATAAGAAACGAAGAGTTATAATGAAAAAATAAAAAAAAACATGGTAATGATGTTAATAGCGATAAAATATAAATAAAAACCAGTTATGGATAAACGTGTATATATAGCGAGTATTGTGTATGTTTGGATTTGGTCTATTCCGACACATTTGGATGGTGTATTATTGTTGTTGCTGTATAACATGCGCCTTCACTTTGCTTTTGGTGTATATTGCGGTCCAATTGTGTTGTTGTTTATGCGGAACGTTTTCATGTTTTTCGTTTTGTATATTTCGCTTTCCATTCCATTATGTGCTTAGTTTTTGTTTGTGCGTATTATTCCGGCTGGTCGTTTATTTCATCACACACTCATAGAATCTCGACTGTTTGTACTGGCTATTGAGAAGCGAAGTGCATTTTGCGTGCACAACTCTGAGATATTTGGTGGACATTTCAATTTTGAGGGGGGAGGTGTTTTGCAAAAATCCGCACATGACAAAATATGTATTCATCCATGCACTGATGAATATCCCTACATACATTTATTATATCATATATTGTCAGGTCTCTTCAACGAATCGGGCAATGGTATGCCAAAAAGACGACACATTCCTATAAAATCAGAAACAAACACAAAACATTAATCAATTAATATGAACACTGAACACCTAACGCTCTGCTCTCTATTCTCAATTTATAATATTAATACAATATACAATTATGCACATACCTTTGAATAAAATATTCTTTGCGGCAACAATGTCACGGTGCCAAATGACTACGTGCTCAATCATGTCTTCTGGTGCAGCATCACCCAATTCATGGTATTCTCGAGTTAATGACCAAGTTTTGAAGATAACTTTTATCTTTGGCACTAAACGCTCGATGTTCTCACGATCTGGATTGATTGCTCTTTCTACAATTCGCTCTTTCTTAAGCTCTTGTCTGCTCAAATTCGTCACAATTATCGGTGGTAGTCCAACAATCGGTTTTGGTATGCAATTTCGACAAATTTTGAATCGATGATTTTTGGTTTCTCTTGGAAATCGCTCGTGACAATTGGCACACGTTATTGATGTACCCCATTCATCTTGAAAACTGACCTTTGTGTGCTCTTGTTTCTTGAAACTGATTGCCAATTTACGCGTTCCCGGGCATCTTTTCCGCTTCTTTATGCCCCATGCCGATTTGGTGCCATTTCTCCAGCACCAATCCAAATCCAAGACGGTTTGTTGTTCGTTACCCGCATGGCAACTTTATCACTTGTTTTGGTAGCCTTGATGTGATGATCGAGATCCATTCGTGCATATTTTCGAGTCGCATATGCTTGCATTCCCATTCGTAGCATTTTGATGCGATGCTGAATGTACGATTTCCACGTTGATCCACGCGGTGATGGTATGACTGGGTACGACTTGAAATCCATTTGTTCTTGTTCAACAAACCACCAGGTCAACCGATCAGCCTTCCGATCTCTCTTCTTCTACTCGGTTTGCCAATGAAATCGTGGATTGGATATTTTAATGTTTTCCTGTTAAATAATAACGTCAAATTTCAATCACGTTCCAAAAAAAACAACATTGTAATAACAAACTTAACTTACCTCAATGTTTGAATTGATATGGCGGCGCACAACGGCCACCCACGTTTTCTCGTTCGGATCGATGGCACTAGCATATGTCATGTTGTTAAATGTGGCCTGCTCCGAATTTTCCACCCAAGCCTTCGCTGGCTTCTCGTACAATATTGACACGCAAACACTATTGGTGACGATTTGGAAGTTAAATTGCTTCTGCTTGCCGATTTGTTTGATTTTATCCATGTCGAAAACCAAATTCCACAATTCATCTCTATGGCCGTACATGTAATAGTCCAGTGTGTATTTGTTCATTCGATTGGTCAGCGGATTGCGAGAACTGGGCACCACTCCTAGTACAGCGTTCGAACGTTTTTTAGTTGGAATCGGCAGAACGGGACAAGTGCGAAATTGTTCACTTTTGGCGGTCGATTGTTCGTTATCAATCCATCGCGACGGAATGCATGCCATTGTTGTGCATATTGATGAAACACTTCGATTTGGCGTTGCATTTGACCGAACATCCACAGTGATTGGAACCAATTGTCCTTAACGAACTCATTGACAGTGACCGGAACCAATTGTTCATTATGAACTTTTTGACACTGCCAACCGATTCTTTCCAGTTCATACAATAAAATGTTCATCTTATTTGTTCTCTCTTCATCACCATGTGTCAGATCTTTGTTACTAGTGGCGTAAACTTTTGCGTTTCGTATATCGATGCCGTCGAATTTTGATCCATAGTATTGATGGCCATTGATATTCATGTTATAATACCAGCGTTTCATTTGAAAAAACGATTCAACATGTTCTGAACAATGAGTGTTGAGATTGGTCTGGGTATTTCGAATGTGATCTTGGTAGAAATAATTGAAACCATTTCCCAAGCATTCTTTATCGGGCCATGCAAAATCTTCTTCACCGATGTGAGCCTCGACAATGTTACGAAAAGCTGGTGACATTAGTTCCTCATCGTCGACGTTTTCCGCTAAAACGCCGTTAAAGCATTTGATGAAAAATTTGTGTCCGTTTTGTAGAAAAAATTGTCGGTTCTCATCATCGATGGCTTCTCGAATTTTGTACAATGCCAACAATGATGCCAGTGATGAAATCAGTGTTATTCGGTGGCTTCGATAATCCAAAAACTGAATCACTTTGTCGCGATATTCTTTTCGGATGATTGACTTGAGTCCTTGTTTTATTACCACAAGATTCTTGATGTCTTTGTCATTGTCAGTTCTCCTCTCGCTTGGATTTAGTAAATGGAACAAAAACATAGGAAACATACATAATTATTTAAAAAAAAAAACAGTTCACACAACAATATAAAAATCGTGTCGAAAAGCCAATAGAAAAAAAAACAGAATAAATATTAAGGAAAACACCGCTCACCTGTTTAATTGATCGTCTTTTGATCTTGTTCGACTCATGGCTCAATCGATCATTCACAATTACCGAAAATTGAACGCTCTAGAATAAAAACAACTTATTGTTTACTCGCATATCGAAACGCGACTCAAAACGGTTGCATATCAAAGCGAGACAATATTTCGTTACCAAAGGAATAAAGAACATTGACTTTTTATTATACAAAATGTGTAAGTTTCATTTTGTGCTGATAACTAGCTACTGTTCTGCCTTGTTTTAGTAACAGAATTTTGTTTCGCTTTGATATGCGACGCAGTGTAACGAAGGCTCGGTATAGAACACACAAAAAGTGAAAAAAAACTTCTTATTCTCAAATTTCATATACAATCAAATGGCTTGTACCAGCGATTTTTATTGCGCAGTTGTGTGTGAATAGAATGTCCATTGTAAACATTCATACATACAAGGAGGAGCGAGATAGCATTGGACAACGATTTGGGTGACAAAGATGACACATTTTTTTGTTCTGATCACAGCACATGATATAGACCATTTTGTGGTGTTCGAGAATTGAGAAAAAAAATCAGATTTTTTTTTCACTTTTTATACTTTATACGGAGTCTCCGAGAGTTTCATATAAACTCGCATTGCAATAGCCAAATGACGCCTATTGATTCAATCACGATTGGTATTCGCTTACTATTCAATAGGCATCACATAGCAAGTTGAAAACAAAATCAAACGGAAAATAGACAGCAAAATTCATATCGAAAACAAAAATCGAAACGGGATTTATCTAAAATAACAATAACTCTGATGGTATACGATCAAACGAATCCATTGGA